CAGCATGAACTAAACACTATATCTCCTATATACAACAGCTAAAACCTAACTCGCATTCATGCCACTAGATTCATAATATTCGTATAGCAAAGAGGAGGCGTTTGTAGCTCCTAAATGAAATCTTATGCACATTTCAATGACAATCACTTGCACAAATAATAAAATTTAAATACTTTAAAAACCACCTTCATGCATTAAAATAAAATTCCCTAAACTTAAATGTGATGCATTGAGCCTTTAAGAGCATGCAACAGTCTTTGGAAGCAAGCGATAACCCTGAGAAGAGTGCTACCACATTGAGAAGCTAATCACTATTTCAAGAAGCATATATATTAATTTAATAAAAAATTTAAATTACCTGCATATGCTTCGACCATTTCAATATGCAAGTTTCATTTTCCTTCTTGAAAGGATTGGAGTTGACATGACATGGATTAAGAAACAAACTAATAATCACAAATCTACAAGGATATTTAGTTTAAAAGTTCACATTAAGCCTTTAATAACTCTTTAAATGAAACTTACCATATAGATATAAACTCTCGATTATTAGCATTCATATGATAAGTCATGAAGTTTGTTACAGAACCCGATCCATTGTTAGAGAACAAATTGAGTTGACAAAGTTCTCAAGTAACCAAATACTTTAATCCTCGATGATGCCCATATTGAAGGCTAATCTCAACCAGAGGAGACTCTTCTCTTTTAAATACCTCCAAACTTTAACAAAATACAAATATTTTGAAATGACTTTAATTTCACTCCGATGATGGGCGTGTTGAATGTAAATCTCAACCGGAGGGTTAATTCTCAAAGATCTAACAAACTTCAAAGCTCAACATTTATCAAAATATCAATATTTAAAATTAAAATTTAATCATCTAAACTTAAAGTAAAACTTATCCATCTTCCATGACTGTTTGACATGGGCGATGAGCTAAAAGATAACTTTAGCTCACAAAGAGCAAATGTTCAGTTGAGAATATTATTCAGATTCATTCTCAAATTTTATTCTACAGTAAGGATGTGGCATTTATTCTCTAACCGGTGGCTTGGCCAGTACGACTCCACTTTAACTCATAGCTTGGCTCGACAACTCTACGTGGTATGATTGTGATTGGTCCTGTTGTCAGGGGTTTAATCAGATGGCTCCACAAAAAACCCGTGGCTTGGCCAGATCAGCTCCACATGGTTAACGATTATGACTGCGACCCTCTGACTTAATGGCTTAGTCGAACAACTCTACTATTCTACAGTCATGACCATAAACCTATATGTATCCTAATGGGTAGTTACCATTGAGTAATGAATTATAGGGTATAATCGATATGACCTAAAGCCCTCTGTAAGTTAAGGTTGACATGAATTTTCCCTTTAGATAAACATTCACCCATGTCTACAAGGTACCATTGGACTAAGCACCCATAACTGCCGACATGAATCATTCGGTCAAGTTGGGTCGACTACCTTCTCTGACTAAGTAGACTAGGGTCTATGATGGCCTGAGACGATGGAACCATGGGATCTTGATCGGGTTCATTATCATTCCCCCCACCATCCACTTTAAATACAATACAGTGAATTTCTAAATTTAAATATTAAATTTTACATCTAAAATTGCTATTACTATATGCCGGATATGTTCAATGATTAGTCTTAATAGAAAGTGCTCTCTCAATATCGGAAGGGATAATTAATTATGGGGGTTTGTGCATATAGGAAACCAAAACTCAAATCTTAAAGTCCTCACTAAGAGTGCGAAATCTCTGGGTTGTATCGTATCTCCATCTAATCCGCCTTCCGAAAAATTTTCCTTGGAACTTAATCCGTAAATACTCTCCCCGAATATAACGGAAAGTTTGGGGCCCAATAGCTCAAATTTTTATTAACCACAATCTTAGTTAAGCTCTTAGCCTCTGAACCATTTGAGCATTCCAAACTCAACTACAAGAAGGTGCCTACCTTAGCAATCTTACACTCAATTGTTTTCAACTCATCCTAGGCTTAGGAACTCTCTAAATCCGCTCACACTTCAGCTTCCCTTCATCAATAAGAGAACATCAAGCCTTTTAAATTATTTGCCGACATCATAAGATAACCCTATGGCTACATATTTTCCCTCATTCAGGACTCGATCTATGTCTACTCACCCTTTCTTGAGCTTGCCCAATGGTTGGTTACACTTTGGGTAATTGATTTTGCCTTCCCAAGGGCCTATAAAAAGGCATCATGTGTTTAGACTTGATGCAATCAAAAATTTGGGAGAGGGACCCAAATTTTTGATCACAAAACATTACCTTTCTAAGAACAAAATAAAGACATAAAATGCTTAAAAGAACACAAATACTATAAAACACAACTTTATATAATAAAACGACTTACAAACTTTTGACTCAAATGACACTTACAATTTGGACGCTTACAAACTTTGACACCAACAAAATGACACCCTAAACTTGCTTACTTTGAGAAGAGGGATACAGGTGAGGTGGCACTTGCGGATAGAAGAAAGAGATTAGGAGACGAGACGAAGGTTGGAAAGAGCCCGCAGGATTTCCATAGGAGGGGAAGAAGATTGGAAAGAGCCCGCAGGATTTCCAAAACCAAAAACCTCTCAGGTTTTCTCTCCAAAAATAACTCACATCATCTTTTTTTTTTTTTTTTTTTTTACTATAAAACACAACTTTATATAATAAAACGACTTACAAACTTTTGACTCAAATGACACTTACAAGGACACATACAAAAAATCAACCTAGACTTAGAACTCCACATTTAACTTGACTTGCTTGACTAAAAAACTCTTACAAACTCCTACAAGACTCAAAATTTGACAATAACAAAACCAAAACTAGGACACCTAAACTTGCTCTCTGTATTACCGGGAAATTGGATGGCAATCAAAATTTGGGGAGAGGGACCACCAAATTTTTTTATCACATTTAGAGTTATAAAGAAAGTCTTTTCTAGAGATATAAAAGAGATTACAAATAATCACAGACCATAGTGAAGATTAGAGACCTATCTAGACAAACAAACTTTAATATTATACAAATAAAAGAAAGAAAAGCTTATCAAACTGTTTTGAACTTTCAGAACATAAGATCGACATTTTACAAGTGCTTAATACACCCTCCGTTAACTTTCTTGTTTACAAATGACTTCTTTACAATGACATGACCTAAAAGTTGGCTGTTAACTTTTGAGAAGAGGATACAGGTGAGGTGGACTTTGGCGGATAGAAGAAAGAGATTAGGAGACGAGACGAAGGTTGGAAAGAACCCGCAGGATTTTCAATAGGAGGAGGGGAAGAAGATTGGAAAGAGCCCGCAGGATTTCCAAAACACAAAAAACCTCTCAGGTTTTTCTCTCACAATAACTCACATCATCTTTTTTCTTATAACATTCTTATCCATCAAGCATTTCAATACTATTATAAAAGCAAAGAAGAAAGCCAACAAGCCGCATGCATA